CAGGAGGGTAAAGGGAAGGTTGGGGGAGAAAAGAGGCATCAATCACAAGGATCGACATATAATCCCCTCTCAGGGGGATGAACAACAGAAAAGTGGGTGAAGGGTGACATAGGACTATGTAAGATATAAAAATAATAATCTATAATTTATCCAGGGTTCATGAGAGAGAGAGGGCAGGAGAGGTAGGGGAAAAATGAGGAGCTGATATCAAGGGCTCAAGTAGAAGGAAAATGCTTTGAAAATGATAATGACAACATATGTACAAGTGTACTTGACACAATGGATGAATGTGAGGATTCTGATAAGAGATGTTAGAGCCCCCCAATAAAAGTATTTAATAAAAAAGTTGCATATGTCTTAAAACTCCCACTGTGATAATGAGGTGCCTTGGTGGCACAGTGGTCAAGCTCTGGAAACACTGACCATTAGACCTGCTCACCAAAAGTGCTCATTTTAAAGTGCTAACCAACAATGGAAGCTACCAGTGCCCAGCAGCTCCCCAGGAAGAAGGTGTGGCATAGAGCTCAATACCCAAAAGGGCAGTTCTGCTCCATCTTGGAGGGGATGGGTGGGTTGAAATCAACTCCATGGTAATGGGTACTAGTGATGATTATATACTATTTTTAGATTCAAAAGTTACAAGAGAAGTGCCTGTTTTTAGTGGAATGGGGTCATTCCAGTATCTCCCTATCTAAAAACAACAAAGTCTCCTACTATTGTTTTTCTCTTGTTTTGTAAAGTCCTTGGGATACTTTCTTCACTCTGCTAGTTCAAAACATTTAAACACAAGCCCCGAGTTTGCCAGTGGTGAAGCACATATTCTGCTTTTTCACCTCTGGGGACCCCAGTTACTCAGTTAAGCCAGATGAATTCTGAATTTTCAGTTCATTTCATTCTGCACCTGACATTCCAGCTTTGCATCAGTCGGCATTAACAGGTAGATCTATCCTACTTTTGAAGCAGTTCATTATAAACCTCTAACCCCCTAAAATGAGGATTCTCTCATAGGTGGTTCTAGCTCTTTTTTTTAAGTCCTTTATATTGTGAATTAGATGAAGGTCTCCAGAGAGGTCATGGCTTTACATGCAACAATTCAAACACATTCTGATTCAATTTGTCTCTTGGGTCCCATCTCATTTTTCCAGGAGGTAGAGGCATACAGGATGGATCGGAAACACAGAGGTTGCTGCGTCATTGTTAACAACCAGAACTTTACCTCACTGCCAGATAGACCAGGGACTCAGAAGGATGCCGGTAAGAACATTGGCAATAGCTTGTCAACTACCAGTTGGGGTTTTAAATGTTTTGTTGTTTCGTCTTCTTAGTATCTTTATGGAAATCTTCTCTTTTATTTAGATGTTAGGTAGGAGCAATATCATCTGCACCTCTTTAAAAAAAGTCATTTTATTGGGGGCTCTTATGACTTTTACAAAAATCCATACATCAATTGTATCAAGCACATTTGTACATAAGTTGCCATCATCACTTTCAAACATTTTCTTGAGCCCTTGGTATCTGCTCCTCTTTTTTTCCCTTCCTCCTCCACCATCCCACTCTCATGAACCCCTGATAAATGATAAATGATTATTATTTTCATATCTTACACCGACTACTGTCTCCCTTCACCCACATTTCTGTTGCCATCCCCCTTGGTGGGGGAGGCTGCACCTCTTTTATAACTGGGGGTGTCACCAGTCTTCTCCAGAATGGCTGTGTATGATGACGGCATTTGGAGGTGCATGGCATTCTGGGTTGGGGTGCAGAAATCCAGGCCTGACTCTGCCTCTGCCCCTCATTAGGTTGATGACTGGGGACTAGTTCCTGAGCCTTCGTGTCCTCACTTGTACAATAGGGGGAAACTGACCTCTGCAGACTCTCGGGCGGTTACGTTAAGGGCCAATACAACGTGATCGCAGTGTGGGCACGATAGAAAAGCTGGTTAGTTAGAAACATTCGTTGAGTTTATGAAATTCAGAAGATTCAAAGCTCCCGTGTGTGGTATAATTTTTATATGGACACGGTCTCATTCCTTCACTTCACCTCATTTCAGTCCCCTTTTCTTGACAGAGAGCCTGAGATCTGTGTTTCAGTGGCTGGGATTGGAAATCGAGGAGTACAGTGATGTGACCAAAGGGGACCTCGAGGAGGTGCTTCAGAAAATGCAGAAGCATCCAGGTCACACTGATGGGGACTGCTTCGTGTGCTGTATCCTGACCCATGGAAAGTCCGGAGCTGTCTACTCCTCGGATGGGGCCCTCATTCCCATTCAGGAGATCATCTCTCACTTCACAGCCCAGCGCTGCCCTTCTCTAGCTCACAAACCCAAACTCTTCTTCATCCAGGCCTGTCAAGGCGACGAGGTGCAGCCTTCGGTATGCATTGAAGTAGATGCTCGGAATACAGAGCTTGTATCCCGTGCCCCCAGTGGGGTGAACCTGAAGGACAGTATTCCTGTTGAGGCGGATTTCCTGCTTGGCATGGCCACAGTCCCAGGCTATGTATCCTTTCGACACGTGAGGAATGGCAGCTGGTACATTCAGTCTCTGTGCAATCACCTGAAGGACTTGGTCCCAAGGTTAGAGTTCTGAGTTGTTCCCCACATCTGTTCACCCATCCATCCACCCACCCACCCATCCACCCATCCACCCACCCACCCAC